TGGCGACCTCAAGTTATCGTACTGACCAAATGCGCATCCAATACATACGTCGCTAACATTCTGAATGGGAGTGGAATGCGTGGCGCATCCAAAAGCGATTAACACCGAAGAGTTATTTACCCGTTAATGACCAAAATTCCGAGAAGGCCTACATTTAGGCGCTCATTTGTTTTCACCGAAGTCCTGGGTATGACAAGAAGGAGCACTGAAGCTTTTGAGCCCATGGCTTGACAGAGCTTGTTTTCAACACGGCTTGCCTGCCAGGATCCCATAAATCATTGTGAGGTGGCAGTCTTGGTAGCACTTTGCACATGACGCCACATCATGAAACGAAATATGATGCAAACGGGTTTTTTCAACATTAGGGAAGCCGTTTCTGCTTATGAAGGGGACCCTAACGCATGACGCATTCCACAGCTCGAACTATCGTACATTGTCGTGGAATTTACCATCTAATAAGCTGCTCGTTTTTCGAAAATAACTGATGGAGTGATCAAATCGGAAATTAGTTGATTTATTTATTTGTATTGTGTTATACGAAAGAAAAACAGATCCTTCTAATCCAGATCGAAAACCTTACAAATAACAAATCATGGTGGTGGGTGAATAAGTGAATTTCGGCTGATAATTAGAAACAAGGAAGGGTTTGTTGATTATAGGATTGGTTGGAGTACTTCATCTTTCCTGAGTCGGTGATCATTCACGAGCCAGTAGATCGATGGCCCCTTTGCGACTGCCTGATCTCTTTCCATTCAACTGATTTCCCTTTGCATAAGGTGAGTCCCTAATTTTGTATATTGTTCATTTTATTGATTGATTTTGCATTCTTTCGGCGTAACAAAGTCATGTTCATCTGTTTCTTTTGTCAATTTTCTTTTTTTTCAGGCTATTGAGTATGTCAAGCTTCGGAAGCCGTATGTTATCAATGATCTCAAGAGGCAATACGATTTGGTAGGCTTTACTTGACTTATAATTTCGGGAAGACACGTAGACAAGTACATAGTTTGACTTGAATGTTCAGCTTTTAGAACCCTTTCTTTCAAAAAACTTCGGATTTCAGTTAGATCGTCGAAAGGTATTTCGCACGTTGGCAAAGGAAGGCATTGAACATCCTCGTCATGGTGTTCTGATACGAAGCGATTCAAATGAGGAAGGTTCGTCGCTGCTCTTTTCTTCTCTGATGGAGGTGACGACGCAAAAGGTTGATCTTGGGAAATGTAAAAATTGAATTCTAAACTTGGGGAATCTTTGTGAATCAGTTGCATTTCGAGAATTCAATTTTCTTGCCTCCGCATCCGTCTTCCTTTTTCGTTGCACTTTCGAAATGACCCTTTTTATTTTTCGGAAGAAAATCTTTTGACGGTATATTTGTAGCTTTGAAGGAACTAGGTAATTCAGAATTGGTCGTTTGTGGAAATAGAAACTGTGGAGTGAGTCATGTACTTACGTCTACAAAAACGCTGTACCTACCGAAGGGAAGTACCGCCCGGATGAACATTGGCACAGGCCATACCTATACCTAGTCAAGGATACTTAAGCAGTTCTAGGTTCGGCGGCGGGCTAATATTGAGCTTCACCTGGACATAGGTTAATTTTGAATGGTTAAACTATCAGTCAAGGCTGCCTAGGAGTTATTTGGGCCGTTTTACCTTCCTGCGTTATTTCGAATGAACAATTTATTGTTGACCATATTTTGTAGACGGGATACTGGTGGAACACAATGATCACATCGAAGTAAACGGCATGGTGTTCAACAAGCCATTTGTCGAGAAACCCGTTTCAGCTGAAGACCATAACATCTACATCTACTACCCGAGCTCAGTCGGGGGAGGGTCGCAGCGATTATTCCGCAAGGTAATTGATATTTTGAGTAATTTCGCTTAAAATCAGTGAAAAACTAAAACGAAATTCATTTTTTAGCCTGTGGGTGTCCTTTTTTCTGTTAGATTGGTGTGCGAATACAGTAATTCCTTTAGGGTACTGTAACTGTTAACGGGAAGTTGGTGAAATCAGCGCATGTAAGTAGCTTACAAATACGGAATGTCGTTGTTCTAACAAGAATTGAGTCACATAATCCTTGGTGTCGAATGATCNAATACGGAATGTCGTTGTTCTAACAAGAATTGAGTCACATAATCCTTGGTGTCGAATGATCGCACTCCCCGTAACAGTTCTTCTTTTTATTTCAATCGCACATCATCTTTAAAAAAACTTTTCGTCGCATGTTATATAGTTTTTTTATTGTAATAGATTGGAATTCACTGAAGTGTGTACTAAAAAGCTAACTGTGGAGCTTGCTGTGAACCCATTCAATTAGTTTCTATGTCTTTTAGGCAAAAATTTAGGAGAATGTAGTGAAACGCGTACTTAAAAAACCGCCAGAGAACTTTTCTATCGAATTGATAATTTCCATATCCTTAGTGAAATCTGAGACCACCAGATTCGCATGACGGGGTCCTTAGTTTATAGGAGACTTGCTTGACTGCAAAATTTCGAATCGGGATTTTTAAAGTCACTTTTTTCGGAAGCAGCCCCGTTTTTGCGCTATTTCAAGCCAATCCTCCTCCATTCCCAAATCTTCCTTTTATTGAAATNCCCGTTTTTGCGCTATTTCAAGCCAATCCTCCTCCATTCCCAAATCTTCCTTTTATTGAAATGTTCTATTTTTAAGTAGCACTTACAACTAACAGATGATGAGCCTAACCGTCGACATTTGAGTTTATTTGTGGCAATCTCCACGCCGTTTTTTTTTTTCAAACTGGCCAGCACAAGAATTTTAAAAAAAGTGCTGGAAAATGTGAGCTCACAGTAGTGATTTCAGATTAATAATCGAAGTAGTTGGTATTCGCCAGTTAGTGAAGTGAGAAAAGATGGCTCGTATATCTATGAGGACTTCATACCAGCAGATGGGACGGATGTGAAGGTTAGAACCATTTTCCATCATCTCTCTCCATCCAAAAATGGTCTATAACAATTTCATTGAGCAATAAGTAGTGTCAAGTTCAAAACGAGCCCTCCGTCGTTTAGGTCTATGCCGTCGGTCCCTACTATGCACATGCTGAGGCACGAAAAGCGCCTGGTCTTGATGGAAAAGTTGAGCGAGATGCAGATGGTAAAGAAGTACGGTACCCGGTAATACTCAGCCACAAGGAAAAGATGATTGCACGACGAGTAGTACTGGCATTTGGCGTAAGTTGTCCATTCATCAACTCTTTTTCGCACTTTCTACTTCTATCTTATTTTTCTGTTGACTATGTAGTATGGAATCAGTATGTAGCTGAATCTTTTGCGAGAACTGCTATTCCTGAAGGAGTACGTTGCAACTGACGAATGGGGCTTGGGGCGGACTCTATTGTTATAAAAGGGGAGTTAAAATAAATGCAGTAGTCCACATTAGTAGCTTTTAAAATGGCGTCTTCTTGGGTTTGCATGACCAGGAATGCAGTTGAATGGCACTTTGTTTGTTGTTTTACGAATGATCAACAACAAAGTCACCTAAGGTCGAAAAGCAATCAACAAGCCAATGGATGCCTCTCCTAGTTGTAGCATTCAACAATTATGGGGAATCGTAGCGTGGTTTGCCTGCTGGGATGCATCCTTTGAGTTGTACCGGAAATCCAATATAAAATTTGTTTTACTCATTAATTCAGATGGGGTGCCATGTGATACATAAGTAGGTGTCCGATGATAATCACCCTAGTCCAACCGTGAAGACAGAAAAGATGAAACAGGATGAGGAAAAAACATAATTTTAGATTGAAAGGGGAAAAGGAAGCAAATGGGCTGCATGAAGAGAGATGATAGCGGGACCTTTCTTGCGTGAATGGGGGGACTGCTCCCCACGTTCAATTAGTTCTGAAAGGTCCATGCGAGGATTCTTCTCTCTCAAGTACTCTTCCCGGGAAACCTGCATCCAGTAATTAATTAGTAAGGAGGCTTTTGCAATATACTGTTTTTTATAATTCTCTGAAATCTGCTGCCGGCTCGCTAGCGATGTGGCTGTTGGTCAGGGCAGCATGGTTTCAAAATTCTACTCGCGATAACAGCACCACATGTGCACCACTTTATGCCATATGTCATATGGCCTCATCTGAGCATGACTTGTTAAAAACACAGCTATCAGCAAATCGTTTTTAGCAAACTGTATGCGGTTTCGATTTATTACGGGCAAATGGGAAATCATATGTTTGTGATGTCAATGGTTTCTCATTCGTAAAAACATCAACCAAATATTATGAGGTAAATTCAACATTTACTTTATTTCTTGATGTTTTCTGTTCTTCGATAATTTCTTTTAATTATCTCTTATTTTCAGGATACTGCAAAAATCCTTGGTAATACAATAATGCGTCGATTGGCGTCGACGATGAGCGTTAGAATACCGTATCAGTTACCGGTTGGTGAACAAGAAGCTCCCCCATTGCTGGATCTCGGTCTCGGAGGTTAGAATTCCTACTTTAGCTTTGAATTAAATGGGAAGTCTTTATCTTCAGGATATTTTAAGATCGATATTATGAAAGGTATAAAATATGGTTATATTAAGAATCTTTACTTACTCCTTGCGTTTTATAAATATTTATTTCAAAACTCTCTTTTTTTATTCGTTACTCGTAGGACACGTGTACTGTTTTGCAATCTTATTGAGTGGCTATTGCACTTTTAGATGATCCTCCGATCGTATCGACACCCTCGGGAAAACTTATGGAGTTGAGATGCGTGCTAGCTGTGATCCGTCATGGTGATCGTACTCCAAAGCAGAAAATGAAGGTATTTTTGTATTTTTGTAGTTGGCTTCTGTTTATTTAGTTTATTATAAGTTTATTACCTTGCTCTATCGATTGTCATCATACCTAACAAGTAAAAACAGTGACGATGCATTAGTTGATTTCATTTTGTCTTGTATAACCTGANTATTGACTATCACTATTTAATATGGGTACTTTAAGGTCATCGTGCATGACGAGCGATTTTTTGCGCTCTTCAAAAAATATGATGGGTTTAAGAAGAATGAAATCAAAATGAAACGTCCAAATCAGCTCATGGAGGTCTTGGAGTTAGCCCGAGAGATCCTTGCTGAGCACATCGTAAGTTTGTCATTTCTCAAAAAGATTTAAATTGAAGAAATTAAGGAACACTTCGAGAAGAAAATCCTATCAGGTTGAACCTCCTTAGGTTGAAGACTAGAGGTCCCAATCAAGAAGTGCTTTGAAGCTAAGCTTAGAAACTTATTTGCATACCTGGTTGGTGTGTTCTCTTCCAAGCAGTTAAACCTTCGGGAGTATTGCAGTCGAGCGGTACAATGATTAACGGCTCTGGGGTCCCTTGAGAGACTGTGTTGTCGCAGTTTGTTTACGTTTCGTCGGTAGAATTAGTCTAGACTGGCTGTCTCATATGAAAAGTACACAATTGGGAGTAGTCCCCATACTATTTAGAGAAATGTGTCCCATTTGCATAGAGGACGATAAGCGATATAGAATGAAGTGCCCGACATTGATGCATTGCCAGGGATATGCATACATGTGCTCCTCACACATGCCTCTAGAGCAAAAGAACTTCTGGCAGCGAGGGTAGAAGAGTGGGGGATGATCGGTAATAGGCGTGCATAACTGAGGGATCATTCAAGCTCATATTGTTGAAGACTCAATTAAATGCTAAAAAAAGGTTGGTCTGGGAGGGTAGTATGGTCTTTGATAGGAATCAAATACGTGGCGCATTCATAAAGATCATTTATCAACGTCAGTTTTCCCTTATAGGCTACCTTGACTTTACCCTGAATACTTTTATACCAATCTTCATGTAGTATTCATATGCGGATGGGGCTTAACCATCCAAAAAATTTTCCATGAAATCTTAAATTTTGTCTCTTTTTTGTAAATGTTGTTTTGATAAAAAGAGAAACCCAGAGTCTTCGCTTTTTCTCATCGTTCGTTCTTGCAGGCACTGCGCAACTCGTTGTTAATGTCGTTGGAAGCTTGCGAAGACTCTGGCGAAGAAAGCCAACGCGTCGAGCATGAATTAGAAGAAGTTGAGGATGCGATCAAACGCTGGGATCAGATGCGAGCAGTACTAGAAATGTATGATGAACATCGTAGTGAGAGTGGAGGTTATGAGAAGAGTGAAACGGCGGGTGCAAGCAGTTCAAGCGGTTTAGTAGATTTCCCAGCTGAAGACAGATTAGTGATGGAATGTCGGCTGGATTCAGCCGGCGAAGAATCGCATACCAGTGACGACAGCGATGTGGACGAGGAGGGAGGTGGTGTTGGAGGAAACCGACGAGTTACAGAGAGATACTCGCCGATCGCGATCCAAACTGCTTAGAACACGCAGATCCCCTACAGATGTGGGAGCTCCCGCATAAGTGGGCGAAACTGCCGCAAAGTTTGTACATAGGTTGTTGCTGTGATTAGTGTCACTTATCATTATTATAGAGTAACCCTAGTAAGACTGTGTTCCTAAGAATTACTGGTGAATGATCTATCTAGTCCGGCTTATCTGGTTCATTTTTGTTGTTGTTATTGTTATCGTTGTGCCTTTAAGAGTTGTGATTGGCTGTTTGCACCTTTCTTTCTCATTTTTGCACGTTTTACAGTCATTCATGGCATAGATAGATTTAATTTTTTTGTATCACAATGTATAATAAAAATTACGAAATAATAAATTTATGTATCAGGCCACAACACTGTGGTGGTTTCTAAAGATTGAGATTTTATTTCAGGATCAGGGGCTTTTTTGTTAAGCTGTATTTGAAGAAGGGCGAGTGAAAGGGAGAAAGAGAGATGAAAGAGATGAGAAACGTAAAAAAATGTTAAGATGAAGGTATGATCATTGCAGGTATGGCCATTTCTCGGGTATAAATCGGAAAGTGCAGCTGAAATATCTGAAGGTTCGTATGTCGAAAAATGTGAATATAGTCGTAAACGTTAATCGATAAGGATAGGCCCGAGCACAGAGAAGAAGGAATTAGTGCAGAGACGCAGAGCAGGTGCTAGGTTTGTCATGGATCTCTGCGTCTCTACCACTCGCTTATTTGTGCTCTGGCTTGTCAGAGTTTATCGAAGTACAACCATTCGAGCACTTTGTGCTTGAATTCCCTTGGAATGCTTCCTGATTAACGCCAACTTAGGCTCGTGAATTCCGATCGGGTGAAAATGAAGAGGCACAACAACAGGGACCAGCTCTCTTGCTCATACTCAAATGGGGTGGCGAGTTGACAACAGCCGGTAAGGATACATTGGTTGTTAAGGTTTTCAAACTATCATACTGAGTTGGTCTTCAAAAAACATTGAAATCACGATCACTTTCTTACTAGAATAGTCGTATGTGGAAAATTCTGAAAGTACTGAGTATAGTATTATAGAACGTCTGACTAATGTCTTTCGTGAAGCGCTTCGAGCCTGTAAAACATTAACTGTTAAGAACTTTTTATTCAATGACCCAACCGTGAAATCGATTCGAAACTTTTCACATAGCACTTTTAATTTTTAGGTAACCTGCAAGCTGAAGCATTAGGCAAATTGTTTCGAACGCTTTATCCGGGAATTCGTAGAGCAGATGGCAAAAGTTCGCCAGAGGATACACAGGTTTGCTCTGTAGCGGCTTTTCTGAAAATTTGCTCGAGGGTTTCCATTATGAGTCAATATGAGTATGTATTAGAGGGTATAGCGTATACTAGTGACATTCCTCACATATGTTAAAGAAAACAGGAAACCTCCAAAGACAACAATGACCATATCAAAGTGTCTGCCATGAGATCGAGTTCATGGTTTCATTGAGGTTGCTTGAGAGCAGTTTTATTAGGTTCTCACTAAATTACCACGAACTTTTCTTATAACTTCAAGCATCCATCATAGAGGGTAATTCCCTGTTTTTTGAACTATATTTTCATCACGGTCTCAATTTTTCAACCAGCATTTGAATACACCTATTCTCGAATATTGCAGAAGTTTTCAACATGTGCTGTTTAGGGCCTTGGGTTTCTCCGACTCCATTCAACATACCGTCATGATCTCAAAATTTACGCTTCTGACGAAGGTCGAGTTCAAATGACAGCGGCTGCTTTCGCAAAGGTATTTTTATTGCTTATGCATTCCGCTCTGTATGTCATTTACCTGTTCGTCTTACGATTGTTATTTTATAAGTTTTTGTTTTTTGTTTAGGCAGAGTTATTTTCTGGACCTCTCTACGATATTTCTTTCTTTATGTAGAGGTATTCGTCCTCTAAGACGAAGAGTTTAAAGTTTTACACTGGTTACTTTTAAGGGCATGCTTGCGCTGGAAGGCGAACTGACACCGATTCTCATGCAAATGGTGAAGTCAGCCAACACCGATGGCTTACTCGACGATGATTGTCATGCAAGAGATTTCCAGTCCGAGTTGAAAGGATATCTTCATCAAGCGTTACAAGTAAGTGCAATTACGCTTCGATTATGGCCTATCTATTTATCAAGAGAAATCGGAAGGAGGAATAAGGCATTTTCTCTGGAATCCATTAGGTTGGCAATTATATGTAACTGGTTAGTTTTCGAAGCACTTCGGACATCTATCCAAACAGTAACAACCTGTTTTGGAAGCAATTTGTAATGGAACAGGTGTCCGACTATTTTATGGTCAGTGTAAGAATGAATAAATATTCATTCTATTTTTCATAATGTTAATTCTAGTCCCTCAGAAAATACGCAGCTACTCCTTGCCAACCTGGTACTGACAGATCGAATGTATAGAAACAGTTTCTTTTATTGAACTAATGGCGTGATGGCCTCATTCTTTCATTTTTGTCTTTTTCTTCGTTATCACCTTTCTTCGTGAAGGTGTTGAAGGCAGTACTTTGCGAGTGAGAGAACTATCTTATGCTCTTCCTTTGGGTTGAGGTCGATGTGTTTTGAAATCTAGTGCACTACTTTATATTTGAGGTTGATCGAGACTGGACGCCGGAAGACTACCAAGCGTTAAATCCGGATGGTCTGAAGTCGATAAATAATGCGATGGAGTTCATTAAGAATCCAAAGAAGATGTGTCATGAAATTGCCGGCTATGTGCAGCGAATGTGCGATATCATCAATCACAACAAGTATACTAAGCCGCGTAAGTTTCTCGTTCAGATCTGTCTATTGTATTGAACTTCCATTTTAAACGTTGTTTGTAATGTAATTATTACTGTTAAAGTCATCTTTATTGTCTGTTGGTGTAGTATCATCTCTACTGGTTCGCTACCTTTCGAATTAGTCAATTAAATGGTAGAGTGATAAGGAAAATTTGAGAAATGTTGCTAAGCGATCCAGTGAACCTCAGAAACCATTCTCCTAGTCTTCGTCTAATTTTTGCATGATCGTACCCAAGTGATCACATTTACTGAACCATTAGGTTATCTATTTGTTTTAATTTTCTCAGTACCCTTAAAGTCGTATATTGAGCAGTGCTTGAGGAGTTTTTTGTCAACAAATCAACAATCCAAATCTTAGTTCCTCTTTTCTGGAGTCTTACTTAATAATTTTTTTTNTTTTTGTCAACAAATCAACAATCCAAATCTTAGTTCCTCTTTTCTGGAGTCTTACTTAATAATTTTTTTTTTTTGAAGATCGAACCCTCTACTTGAATGAGACTTGGGATCTTGCGGAACGACGGTGGGGAAAAGAGTTGCGGGAGTTCAGACGTGAGAATAAAGGTGGCGACGTTGAATATGACATCTCAAAAATTCCGGACATCTACGATAATATAAAGGTACGGTTGAACTGAAGTTATTCTTGAAAAGTTCGCTATGCTCAGTTGTACTTCTTGGCTTATTTCGATTTCCGTTTTCTTTGCAGTATGATATGGAACACAATCCGGACCTTTGTGTTAATAATGAAGGAGAATTCGAAAGGATGTACGTATGTGTGAAGAATATGGCAGATATTGTTGTGCCACAGGTATGTAAAATTCTTCACCACCTTTTTGTTCAATTTTTTTCTTCCCATATAAACACTGGTATTGCTCAGCGTTATTTCTCTCATAATCAACGGAGGTAACTTAATATTAGGTTAATATCCAAGTAACTGCGTTTTTTTTTTCACGCGTTTGTCTTCAAGGGTGAACATCATTTTCGTAGCGAAATACTTTTGTAGAAAAGTNAAACGAGGTAATGATATTTTCCTAAAATATTCGCATTCACTCAGTTGTCAATCTAATACTCTTAATCGCAAAATGTTGTCTTTGAACTTGTTTGATCACAAAAAGTTTAGTTGTTAACTTATGTGTGTTCACCGACACTGTATCCACCTAGAATTAATTGATAACTGTCATCGATTGACTTTTTTAAATAGTTTGGAAGCTGAGATATGATATTTAACAACGTTAAGGAATACGGTATCCGTAAGGAGAACAAGATTTGTGTTGCTCAACGCGTCTGTACACCGTTACTGAAGAAGATCAGGAATGACTTGCACCGATGCATCGAATGCTCTGAAGAAGACGAAAGTCAAACGAGACTCGATCCAAGGTGCATAATCGCTCTAATCGCTATGTCATTATTTTTTCTTTTGCATCATTCCTTATTTATTTCAAAGATTTATGCTTTCATTTCAGAGCTTCTCAGGGTATTGCCACTCCACTTCGTCATGTACGTACCCGGTTGTATTTCACCAGCGAAAGTCATATCCATACTTTGATGAACCTCATTCGGTATGGAGGACTTTGTTCGGTAGGTTGAGTCTTTTCAGAGTTAACATTGGAGATGCAGCTTCATGTCCTTATTTCATCGATTTGCGCCTATTCGTCTCTACTGAGACATAGTAAGCTTCATTGATGATCTGTGTGCATTTAATATTATATAGTGACTGTCTAAATCAGCTATTCTTTCGAACACGCTTATTTGAGTAGACCAACTACTTCCAAGACTATTTGTGTACTACTAGAATTACTCTTACTTTAGTTTTTTTTTTCATAGTGTTCTGAACAATCCTATTTTTATCCTTTATCTTGCCTCGGTATACCGAGAAATAGTAGGGAATGAATAAACTCGGGTTTCTAGGTTGATGACAAAAAATGGCAGCGTGCTATGAACTTCCTCTCTGGCGTTACTGAGTTCAACTATATGACGCAGGTGAGCTTCTGTTTTTTGAATGATGATGGCTTCAATACATTCGACGCGTGGAAATTCGAATTGAAAATTTTCAATTATTATTTGTGCTTTGGTACTTTGAAGCTTTTCTCTTTTACATATGAGTGTTCCGGAAACGGAAATTCTTGTTTTCTACTCTTTCTAAGGTGGTTCTCATGGTATACGAAGACAGTCGAACCGATAGCAATGCAACGGGTATGGAACGGTTCCATATTGAGCTTTTATTCTCACCAGGGCTATACCCATGTTTCCTTACCGAGAAAGAGCGGATCTACGAAAATCGATTGAAGTGGGATTTGTCTACTTGCACTTCTTTCTTCTACTTGTTGTTATTCTTACTTCGAGTAATTTGAAATCAAACCAAATGCGACAACATTTTTTTTTTCAGCAAATCGAACGGGATGACAAAGAGTCATTCACGTGAGGGTAATTGTAACGGGTCAGTCTCACCTGCTTCCGCGGAAGGTGCCAAAGTAAGTTTTTCTCAGACAACATCAATCCATATCAAAAAAGCTACGCATCAGAGAGGAAGTTCTTTTAGACCGACGTTCAACTTGTTGCCCCTATTTTACTGCTATACATTTCAGGAGAATAAGGAGGAGGCTCAGCCGATATTCATTAATGTGCCATCGGTGCCGGCGGATGATGTGTCTGTGTCGAGTGCGAATGACGATCAGAAAGCGGCCGAAACCACCGGGTGAGTTCACGACCCTTTGAAGGGCGGCTTTCATTTTTCTCTTTCTTTTACTTTTAATCCACCTACTTCTTGCGCAAAAGTTGCTTTTAATACACCTTTCACTCGTATTAAAACAGTGTGTCATCCCAAGTGTTATCTTTGGAAGGCCCAAAAGTTTTTGACTAGTTATGACCTTGATGCATGGGCAAACAAAAATATTTAAATATTACTCATTGTCGATGTCCAAATCTACTCATCTATTTGAAAAAAGATAACCCAACGTTGGATTATTAGGTTGGTGAGTTCGTCATCGAAATTGCCTCAGCCCGATTCGGAGGACGACTTAAACGACGCACATTCAGTGAATCTGGTTGCATTGGACGAAGTTACGACAAAGCAATATCGTTAGCAATTTTCTTTTTTT